ATCTAAAACCTGCAGGACACCGGCCCTCGAGGCCTGGAGTTGCCCCACCCCTGTCCTACAGCAACATGATGACCAGTCAGGTTATAGATAAGTGGGACCCTTCATCAGGACCCTGATTAGAAACCCCTCCAGGCTCGACGCATAACTCATAATCCCCCAAGTTAAAATCAGCTGAGACAGTTTGGAATGAGTTGGAGTGCAGAGTAAAGGAAGGACAATTCAGCTTATGAAGGGCACACCTTCAAAATAAAAGAATCCAGGTGATGAAGCCTTTGTACTTATTTTATAATTTTATATGTGGTGAACTAGTTCTGATGCCTTCTGTGTTGTTGTTCACAGTAGGAAAGAAAATAAAGAAAGTGTTGAATGGGAATGTCTTGTGCTCCTTCAATTATTTATTTTTGTTGTACTTTTTAATATGAAATTTAAAAGAAAACTGTTTTGGACTGATTTTCCCATTTTGAGAAGGCGATGATTGAAGTGTAATTTGTGGGTTTGTTTGTGGTTCTTCTGAAGGTACGTGAACGGGAAAACATACATGGAGGATGTGGCCAATGCTCTCGAAGAAGCCAAGGAGGAAATCTTTATCACCGACTGGTGGTGAGTGTTCAGCGCACACAGAGCTGTGAGTCTGTGTGTGTGTTTCATAGTGCACTGAGTGCATGTGGCGGTCACCTCTAAGAGAGGTTTCTGGTCAAATAGATCAGTTACTGTCCGGCTACTGTTACACACACATGCACACACACCCATTAACTCTACAGACAGTATTTGTTCTTATAAATCAGTCTTACCGCTAAACAAAAATACTACATTTTACTTGCACATCTATCTACCTACCTACCTACCTACCTACCTACCTACCTACCTACCTACCTACCTACCTACTTTTTTTGTTTATTTATTAGGGGTGCAACGATAAACAAACAAAACAAAAACGAAAATCCACGGTTCGGTTCGATATTTTTTCCATACAAAAAAAATGTTCATGCCTTTTTAATTTGTCATTTATTAAAATTATAAATATATATTTTAACTCAAAAGTACAGTTTTTAAGAGTGTAAGTGTAATCAAGTATCCTGGAGGCCGCAATCCGCAGTTTTAAGTCTTCCGGATTAGCTAGGGAGGAAGTAAAGGAAGGATTATTTTTACATAATCTGTGCATGAATATTGAAAAGGAAAAGAAACAAGGAATGGAAAGAAGAAGCAAGGGAAGGATAGAAAGGTTAAGGAAAGAGAAAAGGGAAACCAGAAAACAAGCAAAGGAAGGAACAGAAAAGATGAATGAAAGGAAAGGAGGAGGAAGTGTAACAGTCAGAGTGAAATGAGGGGAAAAACCTTTTTG